GAACCTTTTTTTTTGACGAACGCGTTCGTTCAATCTTAGAAAATCTTATTTTTATTCATTTGTAAACAAAAAACATTAATCCCAGCCAGTTTATATATTGTAGTATAGTTTATAATTAAATATTATTATTTATAGATTAGCGTAAGCGTGGATGTTGTTATTTCATCTTCTTATTCTCCAAATTTAAAAATACCTTATAGTAACATCCTGTATTCAATAAACTAATTCTGATATAAAAAAAAATTAATATTATGTATAGATATACAATAGTTAATTTTATTTAGAATTATTTATTTTTAGAGTAAATTTATAAAATATCAAATTTTAAACATGGCTAATATTGTGTTAAAAAATATATGGTATTTATTTATATTAAATGAATTTTAAAAAAAAATTTACTAATAGTTTTCAGAGTTGTTAAAAGATACTTTTTAAATGGATCTAGATACAGATACATAGTCTTAAAGGTTATCTAGATACAGATACAGCGTCTAAAAAGTTATCAAGATACAGATACAATTTTTAAATGTATCTGAATACAGATACATTTTTTATTATGCTCTTATAGGTTTGCATAAACCTAAATTAATATTATATTGTAAAAATTCATGAAATGAGCAAAAAAATTTATTGACGCGATATAAAATTTATCAGAATATAACTAAAATAATGATTTTAATATAATATATGAAAATATATGATTAAATAATTATAAATAATTATTAGATTTCAGTAATAAAATATTTTCAAAATTTTGATCATTTAGACATCCTCGTTTATCTGTAAAGACATTTTTAGCAACACTAAATAGTCTTTCCACAGGGGCGCTTGAAGGAATTGTAGTGTTATATTTAATAAATAACAATTTTATATCAGGGTATTCTTTAAAAATGCTAAAATCTCTACATTCATTTTTGAAAATTTTTTTTAAAATTTGTTGATTATCAAAATTTAAATCATTATTAGAAATTATATCTGATGTAGGGTACTGAAAAAAATCTGAAATTAAATTATTTGTTTTTTTTGGCAGGTTATTTGCTTGCAGTCAGTTGATGGGCATCCCCTTCCTTTAAGGCCTGGCGTAATTGCCTTCCAAAAATTAAAAATGGCGTAATTGCCTTCCAAAAATTAAAAACGCAAATCTTATATTGCTGATAAGTTTCAGCAGATAGAGGAATTATTAATTGCCTTCCAAAAATTAAAAATAGATAATTCATAAGCTAATCTTTGTATCAATTGTTTTCTTTTATTAAGATTTTCTTCAATTTGCAACCATGTCCAATCAAGTTTAAAAAAAGAGTGGAGCATGGTTGCTATAATATTATCATCTTCAAATAAGTTCACAATAAACCTAGAATCATTAAATATTTTTAATTTATTATATTAATTTACCTATCCTCAATCCCTTTAAGTAAGGCATCTAAGAGTGGTAAACAGAAGGTTCATTTCTTTAAAATTCTTTAATTTGATAAGTTGTGAAATAGTTGCACAGTAATAAGCTGTGTACATATACTTATCTCCCTGCAAAATATCAAGGGAATTAGCTATTGGCTTCATTAGCTAATTTAAAATAATGCTATATATATATATTATTGATAACTTACTAAACAATATTCATGAATAAAATCACATTCATTAGGTAAAAACCTAGGTAGTTTTATTCCATCACATATCTTATCCACTTTGTCAGATTTAGCTTTTAAAATTTCTGACATTAATTGTAAGGCATTATAGGTGGAGTTCCATCTAGTTATATTAGGACATATAAAATAACGACCAATATATTCCTTAATAATCTCAGATGAAATAGGAGACTTATTTTGCCTATTCCATATATTTTGGCATTTATGTAGTGTTGTGCTATATATCTAATGAAGAAAATATTACTTATTTAATTAAAATTTACCCTCTGATATTGTTTACACTGCATGGCTCCACAGTGACTATAAGATTCAATGTGTGACTGGCACGACATTGGTGATGAGGTAAACTAAATGATTCTGATAATTCAGAATCCTGTGCAGTATTATAAAGATTTGATATAGAAATTGGCATAACTGCTTCATCTTCCAGATCATCAATTGATTCACTTGTATTATTTTCAATTGGTATGAAAACTCTTTAATAAATTAAGTAATCAATCATATATTATGTTTATATTTATTTATAATAAAATAAACCTAAAACATTTTATAAAATTTTTGGCATTATCTGTAATGGTCTTTGAAATTTTATTTTGAATGCAATAATCCTTCGCTATATCTTGTAAATTTTTTGCTATTTTATCATATGTATGACCACCAGTCATTCTTTTACAAGCCAGCGCTATATTTTTTCTTTCCAAACTTATTGGATTTATATAGTGAGCGGTTACTCTTATGTATGAACTAAAAATGAAAATTTCTTAAAATTGCTGAAATAATTTATTCTTAATTAATTATTATACAAATTTAAATGTTAGCTATACCGGCGATAGGCACTCCAACAATCTGCTGTTGTACATATTAATGATGGTTCTATAAGACTTTTAATTATTTCTTTCTTTTCATTTTCCCATCTTTGGGAAATTCTACCAACAACTGTCTGTCGGCAAATTATATTTTGTGTAGAGCCAAAGTGTTGATCATTTTTTTAAAAGAAGGATTTTCAACAATTGAAAATGGCTGCATGCCATCTATAATAAAAGCAATAATTAAATCATCTAAAGTGCCTTGAGTTAAAGTCAAAGGTCTTTTAGCAAAAATATTATTGGAGGATGAGCCTTGTCCAATATTTTCTTTGGTAGTTTTATTTTCCTTCCCCTTTTTTATTTTTGTTAACAAGGTTGGGTGTTTTCTCTTAAAATTTAAACTAGAATTTTAAATATATAATATCTATACCCTTATGTGCTTCACGATATTGCACGTTGAAGTTATACTGACGGATATTTTTGTATTTTTAGGTAGACACGGCAAACATTTTACCATCAGAGAATTGTTTTCTTTGTTTTGAGATATTATTTTAAAATATGCTCTATAAATTGGCCATGGTAAAGCAATAGAACTTGTTGTTGCTTCCTCTTCTTCATCGATATAGATCTAAATAAATATATAAACTTAAAAATTTAGTTATAAAATAAAATTTACCATTTCCATATTGTAATATTAAAATTTGTATGGTTTATTGATAAACTCGGACATAATATTTAAATTAATGAATATTTATATATATTTTTTATATATAAGTTTTAATATTTTATGTATATATAATTCTTTATTATAGTATTAATAAATATTAATATATAATATATATATTTATTTATTTCATAAGCTCATATGAAATAAAATAAATTTTACAGTCAAATATTTTTATTTATAATAAAAAAAGGGGTATATCAAATGTATCTTAAAAGTATCTAAAAACATATACAGATACCTCTAAAAAAATATCTAGATACAGATACCTTTCTAAAAAATCTATCTAGATACAGATACTACATTTTTATATCTAGATACTTTAACAACTCTGATAGTTTTAAACGAACATGAACACGTTCCCTTTTTTTTAAGGTGAACGCGTTCGATTTTTGATAATAATTTTTTCTATATAAAATATAATTGAATCAATTGTTTAATTTTTAAAATTATTATAAGATTTTTCAGTCTCCAACTAAAATATTTTTAATTATTAGCCTTTCAGTCAAAATTTTTAAGGTAAAAAGAAATAGGAATTAGTGGATCAATTTTTTTTATCAATTTATAGCTTGATATAGGCAATTTATAAAACTTTCAATTTCTTTATTAGAAAATAAGACCTTTCCTTTATACATTAAAGTCAACTTAGCCTATGTTAATATAGCTATAGTAGACGTCATTGAAAGATATTTCATCTAAATGTATTTAATGGCGGACCTCAATGTAAGTGTACACTTTAATAAATGATTCGTAAATCTAGGTTGGTATTAATGTCAATGGGTTAGTAATTATTCTGAGTATCGGTTAAGATTGAGAGTATTCATTGATACCGTCTGTATCGATGTATCTCTAGTTTAAATATAAAATGAATGCCTGTTCGATGACCCAGGAGTATTTTCCTCGAAGTAGATATTGTTTAAAAAATAGCGATCAAATAGGTTTTTAGAAATAAAAATCATGATTTTTATAGAATTTTGTTAGCTCTAGTTTATTTGTTAAATGGTTTTTGTAACCCACAATCATTAAAATATGTCAACATTATAATAATTTTACTGGCACAACACAAAACATAACGAATAATTGGTTCGGATAAATATAGCGATTTGTGATTCAGGTTCGGTTCGAAAATATCCACTCAGTTTGAACCTTTAACCGGTATAGACCTTTTCGAATACAAGTATATTAAAATTATGTAAAAAGATATAATTTTAAATTTTATCACTATTCTCTATAAAAAATAAAATTGAGTTGTATATAATTAAAATATTTTCAAGATTCTCTTTTGTCAAATGATATCTATAAGGTTGAAGAATAAATTTTAAGGCTGAGAACACTTTTATATGCTAACTTGGGTAGCTGGCACGGTCCAATAACGATATAGAAAAATATCTAATAATTAATTATACTTTTTAGTCAAATCTCATTTTTAGTCATCAAAAGCATTTTTTAGAGGTTCATTTCAGATGACAAATCTTTTGCGGTAAATCGGCAAATAATTAGCGGTTAATACCGATTACAACCAATGAAACTGAAATAGCCCTAATTCGTTACTAACAGCAAATAATTAACTTTATTTAAAATTTTTGTTTGATAAGAATATTTAATTCTTTACTCTATTATTTTGGTAATAGAGGATTTTGGTAAAATCCTAAATATTTAAATTAAAAATGATCATCTTTTATTATTTTCAACACACAATATTACACGATAATCATATATAAATCAACAAATATAACATAGGAATTACTTGCATCTTTTTTTTATACATGAAATACATTAAAGTAACAAAAAAATAAATAAATAAAATATAGTTAAATATATAAATATACTACGTTTATGTTATAATAATTTATTTAAAAAATATAACAATCAAAGATATTATAATAAATTTGATATATAAAACAATATAAATGATTCAAAAAATATCTGCATAAAGATTAATTTTGATTCAAATTTTAATTTCCATTTTCACAATAAAAATCATTTTTACTTAATAATCACTGTACATATATTTAAATAGGATAAAAAGCTCTAAAAAAGCAGTATAAAATATGAATTGCTGGTAAAATTAAAAATTGCATTAATAAAAAATATATTTAAATAAGAATATAATAATAATTGAAAACGGGCTATAAAATATGTAAATTTACAAAATTAAAAAAATTATAATTTTCTGCAAAAGAACTCAATAAAATTTTTTTTATATTAATGTATTTTTTAAAAAATATATTTTAGTTCTAAAATTTTTTTAAATATCAAACTGCCATTAAAAAATTTAATAAAACTATATTTAAGATGATTTGATTCCTTTCATCATATCTCAATCATCGAAGATGCGAAAAGAGATTTAAGCTAGATTTAATTTCAGGCTAGATTATTTTTTGTGATAAAATATAAGAATGAGTTTGGAAATGGAGCTAAACTAAACTGTTAAAAAAATTATACTCTGTGATTTTAAATGATAAATATTTTAATTTTAGATTTTAGTATTTAAAAATAAATGTAAATAGGATATAATAATAGTGTCTTATTATAATTATTATTTTGTCAAATTGAAAAATGGCGTTAATATTATCTTAATAAAAATGGCCAACATACTTATGCATTATATTGACCAAAACTTAACTTCCAACTCCATAAAGTGGCTAAAAAATCAGACAAAGGTGCACTTTAAAAAAACCAAGAGCAAAACAAAGGATAAAAACTAAAGACAGAAAAATATAAGAAAAGTGCATTCTAAAAAATAAAAAAAATAAGAAAACCAATATTATAAAAAAAAATGCATTTTCCAACCCATTTTTATTAAAATCTATTAGATAATTCTTTAATTTTTCAAAATTATATTCAAATAAAAAGAGCCCTAAATAGAAAAACTAAAATCCAAACAAGATACTTAATAATTCCTAATTTTATGTTTTCGTCGCAGGCATCAATGTGGAACCTTGCTAATTTTTAGTTTAATAAATAGATTATATTAATTACTAAAATGAAATAAAATAATTAAATCTTAGTCATGGTTATCAATAAAACTTTATTTACCAAATATCTAAATCAATCAAAAATATATTCAATATAATAGAGGACTACAAACGGGCTTAAGTTTCAAATAAAATATGACAGGTTTTTAAAAAATATAAAATTATGCTTCCCCCTTTTTTATTAAGATAAAATGATAATTAAATTTTTTTTGGCATTGGAACTAAGTGATTTTTATTTAACTTTATAAAAATGCATTTATTATATTTTTCAATTCGGGCTGAGTACGAGGTTAAAATAAAAATTCAGTTAAGGTTCGGCCCTATAAATAAATAATATTTCGGGCAGGGTTTAAAAATTGATAAGGGCTCGGCCCGATAAAAAATTCAATTTACAAGGCTCTGCTAAGTAATGACCATTAATGAGTCACCTATTTAAAAATTGAATGATAAAATCCTTAAAAAAATAGTAAGAATAAGTTAAAATTTGCGTTGAACTGTTCTGTTGGAATATTATTTTAAACTATGATATACTTTTTTGTGAATATTCCTATCAAAAACGTTCCAAAATCGCAAAGTTTCATCGCCTGCGCCAGTCACGATAGACTTACCATCAGGAGATAAGGCCTAAATTGAAATAATTTTTAAAATCAAAAATAATACAATTTTCCAAATTTCAGAAATAAATTCTTAACCTAACTCAAAAGACATCAAGGTGCTTCAAAATAGAAGCGACGATGACATAAAATTTTTATTATTAAGTCTACAATGCTATCTATATTATAATTTGTCGAGGATTGTAAAGCATTATATGTAATTTTTAAGAAAACCCTATATTATATTTTTCTATTCTTCAAAATATATTAGATTCTTGTATTTCGTTACCGATTTCTATTCTTATAAATTACCGTTAACAAAATTGGTCTAAGATGGAAATCAAACTTAAGTCGATCGTTACATTATGAATGATGCCTAAAATTTGAAACCCTCGCTCATCATTCGATTAAAAAATGTGTGAATTAAATTTTATAATTTTGCTTAATTATTTTTGGCCTCTTGAAATAAGATTTTTTTGTCTACTAGATGTAAAAAACCCAAGTATGAATTTCGGGAAAAGGTTTGGCATGTCTAGCCATATGTATTATAACAACCTATTGTTATTTGAGTTATGAAATTTGATTTTTTTTTATTGATTTAATTGTATTATTTGCAAAGAAACAATTAATCGGTAAGTAAAAAAATGTAATAAATTAATTTTAAAAAAAGACAATTTTTATTAAATGACTTATTTTGATAAATATTTGTCTTTTCCCGTATTTTTGTAGCTGTAATAGCTAGGAGGCAATTTTGGATATTCTGGTTAGTCTATTTTAAAATAAAAAAAATTTACACTAGTCTTTATTTAATACACATATCTTTCAGGTGGATTCACTTTAAATTACTTTAATCTTGATTGAATTATTATTTTAATTAAGATTTAGATTCGACTATTAAATGTTTAATTGATATATATTATATAATATGCTAGTTTCAGACCCTTGATCCCAAATACTGCACAGAAGCCATTTCATTGGGGCCAATGAATTAAATTAACCCAGGTTTTTAGTATGTAAGGTCATAAAAAGTGACAATATTGAATTAGAAAGAGTTATTTGGAAATAAGTTTAGAAGGGCAGTACCATTCTTCATTACAAAGGAGATGATATGCCTATATATGATCTTCAAAAAACAATCTGAGATTTTTTTCAATGTATTACTAGATCAAGCGAGAAATTCGTTGGAGGAAGGTCTCCAGCAGTTAAAGCTCTTTCAATATAACAAAATTGATAATTGAGCCTGAAAGAGAGCTAAGAGAATATAGTCAATTAAATATTTAACAGATCAAGAGTTTTGGTATCAATTTTTTATGAATATCACATTGAAATGGTGAAAAAATTGTGGATCGGCATAGCTTGACATTAGTTTTACCCTAGCCAAAGGCTACACTGACTATTCTTCTTTTCTTTCATCTAACCCCCTAAGAGACTCTTTCTACCTGAAGGCCGGGCTATGGTAAAGCTTAGATTTTTTAAAATTTATCATACCAATCTTATATGATAGAATCATAAATCCTTGAAATCATATATATTTTTTAATGTATAAACCAAATATAAAACGCGATATGAGTGTCCAGTCAAGACGGTCATCTGGGACAAAGAAGGGTATTTCCATATAACTATTTGATTTTGAGAATATCCGTGTGTGCTAACCTGTTAAGAATTGTATTTAAAAAATTTTAAGCATTCAACTGTATTAAAAATAGAGAGTAATTGGTTTAATGTATGTAAAGATATAAAAAAAATAATAACATGACTTTGTACTAGTATAAACGGGGATACCCGCAATCTAATATATTATAATATAATATAGGAAAGTAATCATACATAATACAAACATGCGCCTTTTATTTTTATAATATAACATCCGGGTTCATTTAATATATTTAAAATTAACTAGTTGTCATCTGCAGGCGGCTGCTCCTAAAAAATTACAAACCCAGTTTTTAAATTTTAATTATATAAATTAACGCAAGAAAATCAAATAATTGATCATATAACATTCATTTTCTCAATACTTTCAATTTAACTTATAAATATCTAACAAAATAGAGCTGAAATTATTCAAAATGACAAAAATTTAAAAATCAGTGTTGGGCATAATAATAAGAAAACCTAGCAGTTAAAAAAATTATTAAGATAACTTATGCTGAACTTATAATGGGGAAATAAATCAAATCTGGACCAAGTCTAAAAATTTGACCTCTAAAGATTTCTGGTATTTATAGAATCTTAGGGTTTTTCAATCATTATAAAATATAATCGTATGTATGTTTTGCAATTCAATAATCTACAAATTTCTTTGATCTTTCCAAAATTATAAATGATATTAATGTCTTTTCTAGACGTGTGAAGTTGAGAGAAAAAAAAGGTAAATATTCAAATACTGAGAGGAAATACTACCTATCAGTAACTGATTCATAAAAGATAGGAATATATTATTATAGGGAGAATAACGGCTTTATTATGACGACTATTTATATTCTAAAGTTTCTCATATTTAGGATGCCACTTAAAAACGATTATTCGTGTTAAAAAAATTTAGAATATTTCGCCATTTTTAGTAAAAATAAAATAATGAACTCACAAATTCGTCCGGGTGAGCCATGGACCAGGCCAGATTACAAACCTGGCTGCCTGTATTGATGGCGAGTCTCGAGCCCTGCTCGGCAACAAGCGTGTTCCAAAAGCGGAGACTGCGATCAGCTGTCCCGCCCCCACTCACTAAGGAGCCTCGCTGGTGCGGGTTCCAGGTTATGGCCTTCACCGCGGCAGTGTGTTCTTTGTATATGTATAGCGTAATTGCAATAATTTTTTTTAAAAATGAAATATATTTTATATGACATAAGAAAATACAGTACTATTAGTTATTAAAACATAAAAAATGTTGCATCATGTTTCTCCAAATTTAGATACCTGGGTCAACTCAAATAATGATTTTTTAACATGTTATTTTAAAACATAAAAACACAATACTGACATTTTAACGGTAAAGAATAATGCTGCCCTATTATGGGGGGGGGGGGGGGTTCATCATCAATTGTTGGCCTGAGAGTTAAAGAATGAATATTGATATGAGAAATAAGTAATTGTTTTATTTAATAATTAATATAATATAATCATAAGAAATAGTTTTTTTCATAAAAAAAAATCTACGTCTTTTATATAAAATAAAAATGTAATTATAAAAGGGATATATATATAAATTTATATAATTATTTATGTAACGAGTTAAATTTAAATGAAATCAATTTATTTCCAATTATTTCTGTCGAACACGAATGCGTTATATTAAGTTGAACATGTTTGATTATTTTAGTTTACAGCACTAATATTACACGATTAAGTCATTTACCAATTATTTATATTTTTCTTTGAAATGTTGAAAATTTTAATATTATAATCTGCGCATTGTCCATAAAAAAAGTTATCAAAATATGCAAAAAAATTAGCCCCACCTCCTCCAGAGAAAAATCTCATTTATGGAACTGCCCTCCTTTTAACCCCATTTGGGTTACATGGAATAGGGTTGTATGTTGAAAAAAAGGAGAGGATATTATTATTCATATAACAAATTGCAAAATGAAATAAAATTTTAAAAAATATAAAAATGTCAGGAGAAAAGGCTGAGGTGATCTTTATAAAAATTCAATCTCGGGTGGTGGGGGAGTTAAGCCGGCAAACCACACTAAAATACTTGGTTTCCTATATGCATACTAAAATTTCATAACAATTATAAAAATGAAAAATTTGTCCTATCGGTATATTATAATTTTAATAACCTTTTTTAAAAATTGCTTTTTTCGTTTTTATTTAAAATTATAATTCCTTGCTAAGATAATCAATTACATAAAGGCCTACCAGTATATTCCCTCAAAGGTGTGACTGCTTGACGCAAATCCCATAATAACAACTTGTTGTCGTTTCCACCTGTCGCTAAGTGAACGTTATCAGGAGACCATTTCATACCACAAACCTTTTTTTTAATGTGCGGTTAAGTTAATAATAAACTATGAAGTTTTAAATTTAAGATGATTAAACACAATATAACAAATTAAATATATGGAAAATAATTAAAATAAATGAAGATTATGGAATGTTATATTTAAATAATCATTCGTGCGAGAAGTAACATAAGATACTAATTGACCGCCTTTGAGGGTCATGATGTAAGAATTTATTATTCGGATAAAAAGGAACATTACAATAGAAAATTGGTACGCCTCGTGCCAATATTTTAAAATAAAATCGCCTGATCATTCTTTTAAATGGGTATTTTTTTAATTGACAAATTCGATATAATAGATACGTTATTATTAGATAATAGAATTTTTATTTTAAATTGCAATCAATACATTTGCATTATATTATACATTTAATTTTTAAAATCAACAAAAAAACACAATTTTTTTTCAAATTTTGTTAAAAAATGTATATATTATAACTACGAATTGATTTTCTTTTCTCATAAAAATAATTACAAAAAATCAGTTTTTGATTATAATTTTAATGAAGACAAAATTTTATTTTTATATATTGTAAATAAAATAATTTTCATAATATAATATAATTTAGCTTTCGTTTAATTTTCCCTAAGAGGCATAAAAGCATGAAGCATCTTCAGAAAAAGTGTTTGGCCTTTGAAACGAGATATTTTTCTTGTGCATTAATTCCAGTGAGGTTAGCTTTACAAAAATTAAATAAGTCTAAGATATTAAATATTTGATTCTCATATGGATGCTGAAGAATCGCTTTTGTTACTAATTTGGTATGAGTTTCTATAAAATTATATTATTCCTTAAGATTACATAATGAGCCTTCTTCAATTGTCACTTATCACCTTTGACATTTATTGATATAAAACGTTTTTCTCAGGTATTATACGACTGTATTGGATAAAATTTCACAATAACAATTATACTATAATCTCGAAAAACATTCACAGGCTTTATATTTGGATTGGGCAAAACACCCTTTTCCTTGACAAAAAATTCTTCGTGTTTTTAGGGTCCAAAAATTTGGCAAAACCATCAATATCTTAATTTCGGAATGTGTTGTTTCAAATTTATTTTTCAATTGATTAATGATTTCACATTCATCGTTAATATTATAATTATCTTCTGAAGAAATTTTTAAAACATCTTTATTAATTTTTTCCTTACAATTATTTTAAAACAGGATATCTTTTTTTGCTTAAGCGTTTCTTCTTAAATGATGTCTCGCCCATTAATGGTAATGAATATTTAGATATTCGAGGGCACCATCCCTTATATATTCCTCATGAAATATGGATGTTGAAGGAAATGAGATACTGGTTGAAGCATTGAAGACAGATTTTCTAATTTTATCGTTAATTGTTAAGATTTAATCTGGTTAATCATCCTGGTAGCCTTCGCAACGTATGTTTATCCAAATTTAATATATTTTATGTACTGTTTAAAAAGAAGGAAGAAAGTTCAAATGTTATCAAGTAAATATATATCATAATTAACAATACCCCACCTCTATTTAAATACATAAAATATTTTTACAATTAATGATTTATTAAGAATTTTTACAATTTACTAATGAATAAAATGCCACATAAAACAGATCCTAGGTCCAATTTGAATATATTAATTGATCTTATATACGTAAAAAAAATGCCGATTTAGTTTTATGATTATTTCCGGTTTTGGGCATTAAAATTCTTTTGACAATATTTAAAATTACATCACTTTAAAGGCCCACCATTAGGCTGTATAAAGAAATTTGAATGAGGCTTCTAGTTCAATTATATATAGATATCTAAAATTAAGGGGAGTACATTTTCCCCAAATTGCCTTGTTTTTTACCTTTAGAGGCCCATATCTCGCCAATGTTTAATGTTGGAGGTTAAAATGTTATCTATTTCTTTATTATAATATATTCTAACTCTAGTAAAATTACTAGAAAAATCTGAAGGGATTGGGTTGAAACTCATGTTAATTTGTCATGAAATTCACCATATATTTCACATCGACAATTTTAATATTATGTTATGTAATTAGAAAAAATGCTGTATACATCTTTTTTATTTGGGTGAAGCTTGCATATAAAATAAAAATAATAAGCATTAAATATTCGAAGTCACTTCTTGTTTATGTCCTGTCAACATCTTCTTCCAGTCAGATTTATTATCATTTTCCGGGCTAAATAGTGGCAAAAAGGTTTTTTTTTAAATTATATGATTTTAATATATGGTACTTCAAGTTTATAAATATGATTTGGTAAAATATTTCCAAATCATATTCAAAACCAATTATCGAAAATGGCAAAATATACATAATATATGATAAAAACCTTGGCACAGGTACTCTGGTATCTAGATGGCAAATGTCGCGGTCCCGAGATCCCGTGCACAGTGAATTCGCGTCACGCCACGCTAAAGCACCTATACGCCCCTTATGCACGCGCGGGTAGCAGAGTACCTGCTTGAGGGCTGACGCATCCCAAACGTGTACGCGTCCCTGGTGGGTACCTATGGCTAGGAAGGCCGGATGACCCCATCCCCGACTCCAACTTACAGACGTTACCTAGTTTGTTTATTTATATCATTTTACGAAATACAAAAGGCAGTCAAAACTAAATAAAATTTTCCAAAATTTCTCAATGATACATTATTCTTATGTTTATATTAAATTAATCAATAGCTCTTTTTTTAAATTTAAGTTTTAAAATAGTTTGACGAACCTTATCGCTATCTAATCGATTGAAGTCATTATTTCCACCTTCGAGGGTGCTGTCATCCATAACATTCCCTGTAAATCCAGGCAAGGGGGTGGATCGGTTTTCTGCACCGTCATTAACATATTGTGACTCGCGTGTAGAGTGTAAGGGAGTAGATGCGTGAAGAGCAGGTTCGGCTGAGTCTCGGGATGGGTTAGACGATGAGTAGTACATAATGGATGAGCGGGATGGAAGTAGTGAAAAACGAACCTCGTGGCTCAGGTCACAAAGTTTGGTTACCTTGGTGTAGAATAAATATAAGAATTTAGAATTCGGAAGAAAAATATATGTAAACGACTAAATAGGTGTTGGTTGTTATTTTGGAACTTATTTTTATAGAACTAAACTATTATGATGTTGATACTAATACAGTTTTCATACTTGACTGGTAATGGCGTTCCATAAATAAACACAGCTGCCCAGTCCTACAGCTAATATGTTCGAGTCAGACCAATCCACGAGGTTAAGATAAAAATCGTCTTGCAAATCGGGGGCATCCAATATCTTGTAAGGCATAGAAGGAATTTTTCTAAAGCACTTAATAATGTTAAAATTTAATAATAAACAAATGGTTATATTTTGGTTATAGGTGATAGTTTTGTAACTAATTTATAGGTTCAGGCAAGGTGTCAGACCGAACCTTGAGCCGTAACTTCTGGACCATAACAATAACCGAAATAGGAGTAAAAAGGAAAGAATCAAACCGTTATAAGAACTTCAAATTGGCATAAACCAGTTTTTAAATTTATTTATTTAAATTGATTAACATTTATAATATTTATTAATTTAAAGAGAATATATTTCATCAATTTTCATTAAAAAATAGTATAAATTTATATGATGGTTATGTTATCAAACTTTGTTTCTCTTATTCCATAAAATCTTTATATATTTTACTAATATACTTTTAATAATTGTTTTATAATCAAATAAAGAAATTTATCTTTAATTTTTGTAAACATTTTTATTGGATGATTAATAGGGGCCAATTAAATATATCTTGTGATTAATTCAAAAATTTATCAAAACTAAAATGCAGTGAAATGAATTTATAACCAAAATGAAAAAATAATGGGAATGGAACTCAACCGTTATGCTAATGGTTTATACCTTAGTTAATCCAATAAAAATAATTATATAAAAGTGGTCATTGTTAAAATATTATAAATATTTTTAGATTACTTTTCTAGGGGAACTCATCAAACTTTCAGTATCCACAGTAAGATTTGACAAGGAAAGGGGGGATACTTTTATAGGGTTGTCTTTTCTTGGTGTGAACTGTATAAAAGAAATAAATATATATTTGATGAATAAAGAATAGTGTACATATAAATACAGAACAATGTTTAGCACATGGAAAAATTTAATTAATAAACAAATGAACACATACCCTGAATAGCTTTCGGGGAGAGTAGTCAAAACTGTCATCATGGCTGATGCCTGGCATAAGTTTAGTCTCGTTTTTAATGATAAACATGGATTTTCCATTGAATAAACCACTGCCCATTCCACTCTCATTAGGGCGGAAGGCACTCTTGAGAGGAGATACATAGAGATCCACCAGATCTACGTCTGCTGAACATCTTGTATAGTTGGCCATCGATAATTCGGTACAACCATCTGAGTGAATTTGATTGCCACCATTTCCACTACCGGGCAGCAGCAAAATGGGGCGATATCGGTCAGTTGCCCCAGGAACCATGTAGTGGGGTACCTCCAAACCACCAGCTCCACCTGCGATATCTCTTTCATAAACCAATGTGCGAGAGTGATGAATTCCGGTGCGAAATGAGCCAAGAAGGAAAAGTAAATTCTGATCTGCTCCATGACCCATGCGATCGTTAAATGCTGACCCCAGTATTTCGTTTTCAAGAGCTGAGGAATAGCGCTGATTGATAGCAACACCTCCAGAGCGATACTGTAGAGGGGAGGAAGAGGGTTCAAGTCCACCATCACCATCAAGATGACGAGGTGAAACTATGTGGCAACGACGACGACTATGAAACACACCACGGTGGATTACAGTACCAGCAGGTTCAATTAGTTCAGAGGAAATGTCCGAGTTATCGTGATGGGTTGAGACCACGTCACCTACTGGAAATGGGTAGGCCCGTTTGACAGAACGCTCAAAAATAGTGGCCAAGTCAGTAATGTTTTCTTGACTAAGAGTAAGTCCATGTTCGATGCCCTTATTAATGTCATCACCATTATTATCTTCAAAATGGTCTAGTTTATCATCGGTCATTGTGTGTTTTATAGGATTTTGAGATGCGTCAATTTCGAAACGCAACCTCCTACTAGCCGAGCACAGCGAGTTCATAAGAGTATCATCCGGAGATGCAAGCGGCAGTTGCTCGGTGCTCTCACTTATAGCAACCAGTTTTTGCATTAAATCTGTATCCTCGTCCCTGAAAGGACAGACACGTTTAGGGGCAGCAGGGAGAATGGGATTATCAGGTGTCTTAAATATGTCGCAAAATTCTTTGGTTTTGGTCCCTTTTTCAGAGAGTTGGGAAGGTTCTAAGGGGCAGGAGTGGGTATAGAAATCGAAAAAACTAATTAATTTTACATTTCAACATTTTAATAACATTAGACTCGGCCATGTTTTTTAATGAGGTTTGCAAAAATAAAAAGCAAAAGTTAAACTACAAAAAGATCACCTGTTTCTTGTTGAAGAGTTTGGAATCCGTTGGAATGGATTGATAAATCCTCTTTAACTGGCGGATTCCAGAATGAATGTGTTGGTGTCGAAATTCCATCACAATCTAGTGGAAAGATCTCCATATCCTGGAGGGAAATCAAATCATCCTGCTCGTTAGATATACATTCACTATTATTGACGTTATTTTCGTCATCTTAATTTTATTAATTGGTAAAAAAATTGTAGTAATTAAGGAGGGGAGAAAATAATTTCGCTTTGTTACTTTTTGAGGAAAAAATAATGGTAGCAAAACAAATTTAAGTAAAAGTAACTGTTGCAGATGTTTAATTAAAGATGTTTATTTATTTTCAAGAAATGTCAATCAGATTATTATTCTTTTCATAATATATTTTTATAAAAATAATTTTTATTCTTTAGTCGGAGAATTTATGGAATCAAAATCATTAATGTTGTAGATTCATGATTATTGGATTATTGTATCGAGATATATTATTATTGATTTGGAATTTAATCGATACATTGATTCATTAATTTTTATATAGATTCTTGAAGTGGTATTTTTTGGATTTAATAAAAGTGATTTTGTAAATTTTTGTGTGTACGATTAACAAATTGGTGATGTTGTACCAGGATAGAAATTCTAACTAGGAAATATTTAAATAAAGAGAAACAAATTTATAGGACGTGGTTCCTAAAGAAGATCATTTTTATTCGAAGAAGAAATTTTTCTGAAGAAGATCATTCGAATCCGGATAAAAAAGGTAAAAAAAAATGTTTAAATATCTTTTTGGTACACAACGTAGTGGTCTATTTTTAATGACAAAATTTTTATTATCAATATTCTAATGAGAACATGGTTTATTTTTTTATTAGTAATCATAGGAATTCTAAAGAAAATAAAATGCAAATTTATAAGAATAATTTTGTTAAATTATTTAATTCGAGTTAATATAAATTGGATGTGACCAATTGTGTGGTTACAGCTTTAAAATTCATTGATTTTTTTATACATTTAATTAAGATAATTAAGAATAAATATGTTATAAATAAAGTGAGTAAGTTATATGATTCTAATGTTATGGATTTGAATCCTATGACATCTGATAAATATTTAGATTTTTCTGAAGATCTAAAAAATAGTTTAAATTTGATTTTACTGGAACTTAGAAATTTGAAGATTAAAAAAAGGTAATTCCAGTGGGAATGAAAAGTCAAATACTAGTGAAGTACCTATTGTTGGTAAATATATTATGACATCAAAAGATATAAATGATAGTTTAAATTCATTTATGAGTGAAATTAAAGAGAAAATTTCTGAATTGTGATTAATAAACCTTTGTAAAAGATCATGATGTTATTAATAATGTTAAAAGAAATGAAAATGAATGTGTAATTTCAAATGATATAAGAGAAATTAGAGAAAGTTTGAAGAATATTTCTAAAGATATAGATATAATTAGAAATAAAAATCAAAATTTTAGTGAAAATTGTGATATTTGTGGCCGAAGGGGTCATAGTGGGAAAAACTGTTTTTCACGTGATCAAAAAATCAATGAAAATGTAAGTGTAAAAGTTAATGATAAAAATGATATAACTTGTCATCGATGTGGTTTTACAGGTCATATATAGAAAAATTGTATGGTAAGCAAATTTTAAAGATGGTTTTCCAAAGAGACCACCGGTATTGATAAATCCAGTGGTTCGTAATATAAAGGATTCTATTATTTCAAATCGAAGTGAAAAAGACGTGAGTAATAAAGATAATGACCGAATGTGTTTTAAGTGTGAGAAGATAGGTCATGTGGCTATGAATTTTGTTCAATCTTTGAGTGAATTACAATGATTATATGATTTGAAAGAGAACATATAAAAATTGAAAAATCTTATATTAATAATAAAATTTGTAATATATATAGTGTTGTTAAAAATAATTCCGATATATTTAATAAAAAAAGTATTGATATTTCAGAGGCCATTGAATTCAGAGTTGAATTTAGACATGAATATTAATGATATTAATGGTAATCCAAATATAATAAATATAATTCAGTTGATTAAAATGAATAAAATTTTAATGATTGAAAGAGAAATTAATCAGTGTTCATGTCCTCGTGTAAATATAAAATTTGATAGACAAAATATAGAAATGTTGTTTGACACGGGCAAGCATTTCAGTAATGTCTAGAGCAAATTATTATAAATATTGGCATGAGGGTACACTTGAGAAAGAAACAATGTGTGTTAGACAATCTGATGGATTTGAAATTGTGGTTTTGAGTAAAACCAAATTAGGAGTGATAATAGATGATAACAAATTTTTTTGATAAGGGTAACATATGGGAAGAAAAGTATTATTTATTTTAAGCCATGGAGAAGACTATTTTAATTTAAGAATTAAATTGTTATCAATTAAAGAGAACATTTATTTTAATAGATTCATGTGAATAATACCATGTGTCATGGTATTAGAAGGTTCAATAAAATAAAAACATTTATTTTAATAAATTCATGTGAATAATACCACACGTTACGGTATTAGAAGGTTCAATGAAATACAATCTTTTGTGTAAAATTAATTTTAAAAAAATAATAAAAATTTTTTTCTTAATAATATGTGATAAAAAAAACTTTTAAAATAAAAGTTGGTGGACAATAAAAGATTTTAAGCTTTGACCTTGTGGTTGAATTATGTAAAATAAAAGAGTTTGAAAAAAGGATGGAATGGAATGTGATGAAATTGTTTATAGTTTTAATAGTTCTAATTATTAATTTAAATATATTTTTGTAAAAAAATATGATTTTGATGATATTATATATATAAAATATGTTTTGTAGTTTTGTATTTTTGATATATGACATATCTTTTTATTTTTTTTGTGATTCATATTATTTTTCTAAATTGATATAATGATATTCAATGTATGTAGTTTTAATAGTGATAATTATAAAGATATAATGATATTCCATATATGTAGTTTCAATAGTGATAATTATAAATTATTGTTTTTATCCCTCTTCATATTCTTTATTTTGTTTGTGGCCAATTATATGTTTTAATTGAAAATTACGAAAAGGAAAAAATAATTGTAAAGGATTATTAGACATTAGTAATTTGATTGTTATATGTAATTTTCCTTGTATTGACTTATTAAAATAAAAGGATTGTTGAATCCAAATTTATATGTATTATGAAACAAACAGATTATATTATAATTATTCGCATTTCGGAAAAAGACAATTCAAGAGTTAAAAGTTGATAATGTTCAAACGATAAATGACGAGGAAATGATCAATGTCTTAAAAGAACGATAATTATATGGTATCTGGGCTTTTGAAGGGTGGGCGTGTTGCAGATGTTTAATTAAAGAGAAAAATAAAAAATGTTTATTTATTTTCAAGAAATGTCAATCAGATTATTATTCTTTTCATAATATGTTTTTATTGAAAAAATAATATTTATTCTTCGGAATTAAAATCATGAATGTTGTTGATTCATGATTATTGGAATATTATCGAGATATATTATTATTGATTTGGAATTTAATGGATAGATTGATTCATTAATATTTATATAGATTCGTGAAGTGGTATTTTTTTTGATTTAATAAAAGTGATTTTGTAAATTTTTCTGTGTACGATTAACAAATTAATTTTTTTATAGGTTTCGTTATAACAAGGATACACTCATTAACATTATTACTTCAAAGTGAAAGTGTGATAATTGAAAAAAGGGAGATATGATCTTTCTTTTTACAGAGGACAAAATGTTATCACTGATTGTGATGATAGTGTGTTAAAAAATCAATTAATACATCTTTCTCTAATCGAAAAATTGTTCAAATAATGGTTCCCAATTCCATCAAGCATTCTTGTAGAAAGATTATTAATTTGAGGGAATATTTTGAGAAAGCCAATTTTGATTACCAATTATTATTAAAAGTAAATATTGTATTAGTTAGTCAAAAACTCGGCCTGAATTCAAAAAAAAATTAAAACGGGTGGGGCCTGGCAATCTGTGCATAAATTCAGGCCAAGCCAGACAATTAATACATAAAAAATCAGACAGAACCTTGCAAATCTCAAATTTTTAAGTATAATTTTTATAGGCCAGCCCTGGCAATAAATTTTGATATTTAAATTAATGCTATTTGAAATAAATTACAATATTCTAATTTCTTTGTATTTTAAGAGTTGTCTAGCTAAAATACGAATTCTATAAATATAGAAAATTCACAAAAAATTAAACAATTTATTAAATAGTTGTTATAGAAATAGATGTCCATAGAGGAGAAATGAGAAATATAGGAGCCTTAACTGATGGGGAAAGGTAGATATTGAAAATTTGATGACACAAAAATTAAAATTTAAAAGGATCGGACCTGATTTTTCATAAAATTTTCAGGATGGGCCAGGCATGTTTTAAAAAACAACGGGCTGAGCCAAGCAAAAAATTTGAAGTGCTGGCCATCTTGTGCGTAAATTCTTGGCCGGCCGGAGGAGACGGGGCCGAGCTTTGCAAATCTCTAATACAGAGATGCACCTGGACCATTCTTTAGCCGATATCCAAGCCAATACTAATACAGTATCAGCCGATACCACAAATAATATATTTATCGAAAAGTAGCTATTTCTTTAATTTAAACTACCTACTTTTGAGAAATACTAGTAAGTAGAATAAGTTACTTGTGATAATAATTGGAATTAGTTACTTGCGAGAACATGTATATTTTTTAAAGGTAACTTGAACAACCTTATTTTTTAAGGACTTTTATAGAAGAGGTAACTTGAACAAACCTATTTTTATGTACAACGTATAAGTGATTTAATCTAATAATTAGTAGCCTTTAAATGTTACTGATAGTATAAAACAAAAAAGATCATTAAGAAAATGGTAGGCAATTCAATGTCAAAACGTTTCGGCCAATCCCTTTAGATTTTGGCAAAATATGGTACACAAAGTAAGGTTAATGTAACTAAGAATCATGCGCAATTTTAGATGCCTAACAATTACATTTTGGGAATTATTAGAGGCGCCACCATTATGGGGTTGATTAAATTAATAATTAGTAAAAAAAAAATTCTAGGGGGGGGGGGGGGGGGTTATCAGATGATATCCATTAATAATGTTATTAACACTTGCCGTTATTTGCATTATTCGTATTGCCATCCATATTGTTGAAGTTATCGGATAATCGACGAACGCTGAGTGAGGAATCGCTCGTAGAAGTAATATAACTTGGGCGCCAAGCCTTTCTACCGCTGAAAGTCGTTGGGTGAGATATTTTTTGCCGTTTTTTGGGTGTACTCCAAAGATCCTTTTCGAATTCGTATATGATAATATAAATGTTTTATTCTCTCTTCATTAAATCATTTAAAATATATACCATTAAATAATCTAGAAACCAGTTCCGGCTAGAGTCACTAAAATTTAAAAGAAATCCTGGTCATCTAAATTTTAATATAACACCTGCAGGCCGTCCCCGGAACTAGTCGAAAAATGGAATAATTGTTTAAAATTTTATTTTTAAAATAAATTAAATTTTATATTAAATCTGTAGCCAGGTTCACATCCTGCTTGTTTCGGATTTTAATTTTTTTCGATCCATAATCTTGGGCATGCGGGCCATTGCATCCCAAGTAGAGCATTAAAACTTATTATTTATTATCACCAAATTTCCCCCAAAAAAATCCTTATACCAGCTAAAGGTAACAAAAAAAATTTCTAAACCTCCACATCCTGCGAAAGAATATAGCTATTTTAAATACAATGCAATACGTTAATAATTTTGAAAATACGCGAAAAAATCTAATTTTTCGCAATTTTGTTTAATTTTGGAATATAATTTTCGATAAATACATTGAACTAACAATTATTAGGAATAATATCATTTACGAAAATTGGAAATAACATCTAAATCAAGATGATTGCAAATTGTTATCAATCAATTATTATGACTATAAAAAATTTGACATTGTTTTTCTATTTTTAAAGGCAAAATAATGGTTATAAGATTGTATATAATTGATAACACTGTAACGTTAAAAATAAATAGAGAATATTGTAGTACATAATATTAATTTATTAGTTTTGGCTTGCGCATTGTTTTTATTCTTAAACCCAAATTAGATGTTTAAAATTTCATTATTTTAAATAATTTGAAAATTGTAAATATGAGCAGCAAATCAATGTTAATTGATTTAATCAGAGATTGAAGATTTTTATTGCCTAAAATTTTTTTAAATCAAAATTGAAGATTTAATCATTCTTTTATTAACCGAATTCGTGATTAAATTATGGAAAAATATTAAGAGTCATATTAAAAAAATATTTATTTTGTCAATTTATTATCTATGAAAGCCATTTTATATTTGTTTATTACAGTATTATAAAAAAAACCAGTCGGAACGCTTCTTATTAAGCTTTCCCACTTTTAGAATAATAAATTAGTTTAAAATATGATTTTGATAATCATTTTGTTCAAAGGTTACATATAATTCGTAAAAATGATCCAAGCTCTCACATGTATAAACAGTTTACTTGTCTGATTGATTTATTAAATAAACATCACTAAATAAAGTACAAATTGGTTCATAAGATAGTGTTGGTAAAACCCCAATAATTTAGCCAATTATTAAAGAAGAACTAAATTTATCGCCAGAAAAATATTAGCTAAGCCTCGATATTTACCAAATGATGTTCTTCCGATAAAATCTCAAGGCTTAGATAATATTTCTTTGCAGTGGCGTAGCCAGGATTTTATCATGAGGGGGGGGGGGGTTTAAAAATTTTTTTTGGGGGGGGGGGCGAAGAACCCCCAAACCTCCTATTTTTTTAAACACTTAATTGCTTATATTTTTGGATTTGTTAAAATTGTTTTATATTTTCATATAACAAAATTTTAGGCTATTTTATTATATATTTTATATTCCTTTATTTAATCATATATATATTTTTATTAATTAAAATATTTTCAAAATGTTGATATTTTATATAATACAGATTTTAATATTAAAAATTATAATGTATAAAGACTCTATTTTAAAAAAAGTAATTTTTTATAATTATATAAAATATGTGTAATTCTTATGCAAATAATGGTATTTAAAAAAATATGATGATATTATCTTATAAATAATACTTTTTTTACAAAAAAAAAGTTGATTTTATATTAAAACTAATAAAATCTTATTGCTATTTTTTGATTTGAATTTAAAAAGAGAGATCTACTTTTCTCAGAGATTTTGCTAATTCATCTAGAATCAAATTTTTATCTAAAATAATCTCCTTGTTAATATTCAATAGGGCTAATCCATTTATAGGGTAAATTATTTAAAAAAAAACAAAACAATGTTATTTTATTTTTGCACAACCCTCAAAAAATAAATGACAATCAAATATATAATATATAACAAAACATTTAAAAAATACATACGGTAATTTTTTTGCATTTACAATTTTTATATAATTTAATTTAATTTTTTTTATAAAATACATACGGTAATTTTTTTGCATTTACAATTTTTATATAACTTAATTTTTTTTATAAAATAGAGTTTAATATTTTTTTCAAATGTTTAATATACGACAAATTTTATCTAGTAATACAAATTCATTTACATTAAATCCTGATCCTGTTTTATCTAATTCAAATTCAATACCTAATATTACAAATAATTTCCATATGATCAATTCTTCCTCTGTAAGTGGTGATTCTATATGAATGCACTAATTAATATTCTACCGAGTGATGCAGTTATTGTTATGGACAATGCATCCATCCATAAAAGCCACCTCATTGATTGTTTTAGAGCGCGAATAGAATATTTGCCACCCTATTCGCCGCAACTAAACCCGATAGAAAATTTTTTTGGAGTGTTAAAAAACAAATATAGGTCGATCAATCCCCAACCAAATACTCGAAACGAAATAATTAATAATGTAACATCAATTCTTAATGAATTTACTATTCCTTTTGATTTTTCAAATTAATCAATTTTTGGAGATTGGTTATCAAGGACAACCAATGAATTAAGGTAAATTTATAAAAATATAATTTATATTGAAATATATTTTAAAGGAATTTAGAAAAAGGAGAATATATATATAAAGAAAAAATGAAAATTAAAATATCCAATTTTTAATGTATTTTTTAAATCTGTTTTGTTATATATTATATATTTGATTGTCATTTATTTTTTGAGGGTTGTGCAAAAATTAAAAAACATATTGTTATTTTATTTTAATTGTTTGTTTTTTTTTAAATAATTTACCCTATAAACGTTTTTCACCGGTTATGTTTCTTAAATAGGTTTTTAACCTTTTTAAAGTTGAAAAAGACCTTTCATTAATGCAGGTACTAATTGGCAAGGTAGTTAAAATTAATAATGTTTTGATATTAGGCAGGGAATCTAAAATGCAAATACACATGGAAAGGGCCTACAGAGCATTTTTTGGTCTCAAAGAATACCCTATTCTGTCAAGATATTTATACCAAAATTCGACATCACAAAGTAACTTATCATATGAACCTACTAAATCATAAGCATAAAACTCTGAGATTTTTTTAATATCCTCTCGTTTCAAGTGTAATCAACAGTTTAGACTCAACCGGCAAAAGAAAATAAAAGCTTTGAAAATATAATTATGACTAATAAATCTTTCTTTTAATTGAAATGAAAATGTATCAATAAGGGGAATAAAAATGTTTATTTTATAAAAATCCTCAATCGTAGATGCATTAATATTTGATCGATTGGATTGTCTAGAGACTACTCTAGGTTTAAAAATTTCAATTCCAAACATAGTAGCAATCTCCTTTACTTTTTCATATATTTCATGAAATTTTTCATCCACATTCTCTCTGATATTTGTTGATATTTCAACAATATCTTTGCTCTATTCATAATCTCCCTTAAATCCAAATCAATTTTTTGTAGCATTTTGCTAAAATCATATGTATAATTAAATAAAAAATAAACATATTGAATTGAAATTAAAAACTGTGGCTTAATAATAGCCTGCAAAAGATTTTCGGCATATGCTGAATCTTTTTCCTTGCTTGATATATAAAATTCTAGTGCTGCAAAGACAACATCATATATTTCAATAAAGAGTTTCACCAACTCTTGTCTTTCGATGAATCTGGTCGGACAAAATCTTTAGTTTTTTTTTTGATTTTTTAAGTCAATATCATGATACGTTTGAATAAATAACTTCCTTTTTTTGGGTGGTGTGAAACAGCTGCAAACCAATAAATATAAAAATAATCAAATGTGTATATCTATTATTATTTATAATAAATTTAAAACATAAAAATCAAGCGTTTATTAAGAATTTATTAAATTTAAATTAAAAAATTTTTTAAAATAAATTAAAAAAATAAAATTTAAAAAAAAGGGGGGATTTGAATTCCCAAACCCCCCCCCCATGCCAACGCCACTGTTTCTTTGGGTAACATCTTAAGGCTAATTATAGGTTTTTAACAACATTCGTGTAATTAATTTATCGATAAATAGCTTCTTTGAAGGGAATTTTTTAACCAATCCGGACAGATACTCAGGATTGGGCATATCGCAAATACTTGTATCTTTATTTTGCATCTTGAAAAATTACTTTATATATTTTATTAATATTTAATAGATACAGAAGATATTTTAATTTTTAATTATTTTTTGATATATTTATTTAATTAATAGGGTTAAATATTTAATTTAAATTCAAGTTAAACTATTAAACATTTTTTTTAAAATAATTTCCCATCAATAATTCTTAACATCCTCTCCTCCCCAAATATAAATTTGTTAAAAAAAATTTAATAAATAGATATCAATAAATGTTAATAGTTTTCTTCTGATTCAAGGCAACACCAATAATAGCTTAAAGGATAATCCTAAGGAATATACTAAAACAATGCATCCCTTAGCAATAGCTATTGATAGGCTGCAGGGCCAAAATAATTGTTATTACAGAGATTGAGTCCCAATTTTATCTGTTGTAAATAGAAATATATACATCTTTTTACTTCAAGCCGACTTACGTTTTTTCCTACCACTTGTTAAAGCCGTAGAAATTGGGTTGAATAAAAGATTGGAAATATTTTCAATTTAATAATGAATATAAAATGGCTTTTTAGTCAATAAAATCATTGTTCTAAAATTAGATAGGTTTAATGATAGAAAAATATAGTTGCGAAATAGGTTGCTACGATTTTTTTATATGAATTAACACATTGTATTATAAACTACTTTTATAAAATTTGTAAACTATATATAATCATAATTGTAATATACTGCATTATATACCCTATATAAAAGT